AAGTATTTTGTCTTTTCGAAATCTTATTTAGCCAAAAACAATTAAATATCCAACAATTTATAAAATATGCCAAAAAGCGGTGATAATTGGTCACATTTTACACATTCATAACAACCAAAATTTGTTTTTATTTGGTTTTATTAATAAAACCAAATTGTATTATTTTTAAATTTCGTGTGTTTTATTTCGTTTTATTTGTTTTAACAAATAACTGTGAACACTAGTTATAATTAAATTAAAGCTTAATTTACATTTTGGAATTAACATTTTGTTCATATTTCAAAAATATTTATAATCAAATATGCAATAATAATGGTGGTCAAGGTTTGGTCAAGGTGAATTTAGAAATTTTTTGTATTTTTCAAGGCGTTAGTCGATCAGAGTTGGCAACACTACCGACAAAGCAATTACCAACCCGTTTGGCAGAAACAAAGACTTTGCTTTGCGATACTTTCCACGCGTTTGCGGATCTAATATATTATACATTTGATTCTCCCTTTGCTTTCAATTTCTTGTCATTGGTTTTACTGTGAATATCTATAGTATAAGCTAGGTAAATCAAACTAGGTACATTGCATCTATATAAAATGTATTTTATACGTACTGAATATACAAATTACGAATTATACAAATTAAATCGATTATGGACGCTTAGAATTGGTCATACTTTTTATTGAACAACAAATATTAGTTTATATTTGATTGTCGTGAAATCAAATAATGCATTATTACTCAATATTTATGGTACACTTAAAGTCGTTTATTTTCACATTGTACTATTTCACAAGTTGTCTAAATTCACATAATGTCACTAATCCCAACATGGGTTATACAATTTAACATAGACTTAATTTCACACTTCTATATTTTCACTTTCACACAAATAATGATTTTCTTAACATTATGCACATAGGATTTCACTTATAATTTCACATTTTTATTGTAACATTTCAACTGATATATTTGTATTGAATTAGATAAAAATTCAACATAATGTGAAAGTCAGCTTAAATAGGATTTGAATTTTTGTTTCTTACCATCATTGTGTACCATCTATGCTATCAAATCATGTGGGTTCTCTTTATCTTATTCCTGCCCAACTCATTGACGGGATAGACTTTTTTCCATAAAATTAAACATTTAGCAGCAAAAAATTGACTTATTTAATTAAAAGCATCTACAAGAATTTTTTAATTTAATACAATTTGGAATTATAATTATTTTGTTTGACGGAAATAACCTTTAACATTATCTGCCTCGTGAATAAGTTATTTAACATTTCAGTTGTTAAGAGACCATTGTAATGGAATAACAGTCAAACATTTTAACTTGATGGGCAATAATAAACTCAGTATATATCATATCTAAATCATTTTAAATTGTAAGATTCTATTAATTACAAGTTACCTAGCTAAAACAATTAAAATACTATATAGAATCACGGTAATAATTCATAAAACCATGAAAATATATAGTTCCATAAATTCACATTTTATAATTTCACACTATTGAATCTCCGGTCCCAATGATGTGAAATTATACAGCTTTAAGTGTATAACAATAATTTATAATTTTAAAATTTCATGATAAAATAACCATTATAATAAACATTAATTATAAATTCAGTATTATTTACTATAATTTATCATATATTTTAAATAGATGCACGCAAAATGATTATGACAGTTAAGATGAAATACATTAATTATTTAGACAAACAAATTATAATGACAAAAAATTACTAAAATCAATATTTACTGAATGACAATTATTTATAAATATAAAATTTCATGAATATACAGTGTCTTTGGCCATGAACGCGGGTTTTGATTTTTTATTATTCAAAAACTACAAAAGATATCTTAATCAAATCAATTGCAAATTAAAGATAAATGTTTGGCATTTTAGTTATTATTGTTAAATAGATGCTAGCACTGCAAACACATGGCTAGCGCACGCACTCAATATTCAATTAAACAAAACAGTCGAAATTGTTCGGCTTTGTATCAAAATACCAAAAGTCCGGCGGTAACTTTTAAAGCTTATTGGACCCAGGTTGACAAACATTCAACAATTACTAAGGAACCAATAACAAAATAAATTTTTTAATTTTTCGATTTTTTCAAAATTTTGTTTTTTGTCTAAATTGAGATTTTGATCAAATTTTTGCAAACTAATGACAAAGTTTAAACGCACTGGTTCTCTGCTTGACGATAAGCAGCATTATAATGAACGGACGCCTATGTTTAAACGCACTGGTTCTCTGCTTGACGATAAGCAGCATTATAATGAACGAACGCCTAAAGTGGTCACACCCGAAAACACCGATCGGGTTCGGGAACTACTGGCTATAGAATTATTTGAAGTCTCTAGTGTATGCGAGAGACCCCCAGACCATACCTGAACTCAAACAATCGATTGAAGATGTGATTTAAGCCATTTCAATAAAAATGACTAGAGCAGCGATCAATAGGTTTTTTGCTCCCGACTCAACCACGTGATTACGGAAAATGGCGGCCATTTTGAAAATTTTTTTAATTAAATGCCAAACATTTATCTTTAATTTGCAATTGATTTGATTAAAATATCTTTTGTAGTTTTTGAATAATAAAAAAATTAAAACCCGCGCTAATAGTTGAACACCCTGTAGTATTGCGAAACACTTGGACATAGAATTTAATGCTTTATCTATAACTCCAACAGACGAACCCTTAAGTGTTGGTCTGGAAGTGCCGAATATCCCATCGGCGACCTCTGACTCCAAAGTTATTGTTTCTGTGATAAGTGGTTCCAATCAAAGAAGTGAATCACTGATTAAATTGATCCCAAAGTCTGGCTATGCGTTCATCCAAACAGATAAACCTATTTATACTCCAAATGAAAATGTTTTGATACGAATGTTACGACTCGATGACAGACTCAGACCTCTCAACCAAAAAGTCAAACTTAGAATAAAAGTATGTGTTTTAAGCGAAACAATTGAAACACTTGTTGCCATTTGTGTAATATATTTGCATTTCTAATCTATTTTTCAACGCATTTATCCTTCAATTTGAAAGAATTCACAAAAAGTAATAATAGAAGAAACGACTCTAAGCCCGAGTGAACCCAAATATTTCATTGACCATAAGCTCGAGTTTCCTCCCGCACCCAAACTCGGCATCTGGTCCGCAGAGCTCTGGTACGGAACCAATGTATGTCTTTGTCTTACATCTCTTTTGCGTCAATAGCTTTGACACATAATTTATATTGATTTTTACCGCTAGTTTTCAAGCAATTCTAGCGTTTCGTTTGAAGTGAGAGAATATGTTTTGCCGACATTTTCGGTGAAAATCAAATCACCGAAGTATATACTGAAGAGCACAAAGGATATCACGGGTTCAGTACAAGTGGATTATGTGTACGGAAAGCCGCTCAACGGGACGGCTATCTTCAAGTTCGGCACCAAAGGGTCGAACGGACGGATCAACTACTTTGGCAGCACTTCACTCAAAAACCTGACAAATGGTTTCGCCAAATACAACATTGACGTCAATCAGTTCAGTCAAACACCCTTAACGTGGTTTCCGGCCGTTAATCACCACAGATTCGTCGTTGAGGTGTCTGTTCACGAGTTGGCCACAGGAAAGAAGGATAAAGCTATCGATGAGAGCGCTATATTCGTCACCTCTCCTTATGTCATATCCTATAAAAACACTTTTTATGACTACAAACCCGACGTCGAAACTTATATCACCGTAAGTTTATTATCACTTTTGTTCATTGCTTTAAATGTCATTTATTGTCGTTTAGTTTTACTTATCGATAGAAATGTTTTTATTATATTAACCAAAATATATAAATTAATATATTTATTAAAATTATTTGCTTCGCTGAACCATAAAATATAGTGAAATATTTATCCCTTATAGTTGTCCCTGAATTATATTCATTAAACTTGTTGTTTAATATACCGAATGAAACATTGCATTAATTATCCCATTGTTTAGATTTACGTTTTCTGAACCATAAAATATAGTGAAATATTTATCCCTTATAGTTGTCCCTGAATTATATTCATTAAACTTGTTGTTTAATATACCGAATGAAACATTGCATTAATTATCCCATTGTTTAGATTTACGTTTATATTAATGCAAACATTAAATGTGAAGCATTTTGATAATCTTGGGATAAAATAAAACCTAATTATACTTAATTGCAGCATATTTTTGTCAACTTTTTATTACAGTATCAGATTATTGTTTTCATTTATTGAAATAACAAATTTTCTCTTTTATCACAATTATATATATAAAATTAATTTATGCTATTGTTAGACAACTAATACCAGATTTGGGGTAAAATCCACTTTAATTGATGATTGCATTGAAATTTGAAACACACTTAAAATCAATTTTAGGCACAAATTAACGATATTTTTGGTGAAAGTGTTGCCGAATTACCGGTGAAAGTGATACTTAAGGACGAATCGGGAAATTTCATCCTAAATAAGACACAAACGAGCAAACCTTCGATGCAATTAATGAGCGACCATTTGGGACGCATATCATTCCCCATCACTGTTGGCAAGAATGTGAAGGAACTGCACGTTAGCATTAGAACCGAAGACCCGAAACTTGATCGCGAAGACCAGATAGAAGTGGCGCACGTTCTCTGGGCTGATCTCTCCGCCAGTGGTTTTGTCTATATATCGAGCAAATCTAAGTACAGCTCATCCCTATCAGTAGGCGACACATATCGTAGTCCTTTAGTGACGAGAGGCTCTGTAGTCTCCGATAAGATATACTTAATTGTCGTAAATCGCGGACATATTATTCATTCGGAAAGAATTTCTGCCGATAAAGGCATCAAATTTGAGATAACACGAGAAATGACTCCTTTTATAAGAGTTATGATTTTAGCGGTCACTAGAGATTCACAGCTCGTTTCGGATTCAATTAAAATTGAAGTAAATGAAGACAATTGTGGTTTAGATATGAGTGTAGAGAACGATACGAAACAAGTAAATCCGGGCAAAAAATTGAATTTGATTCTTAACGGTACCAAAGGAGACAGCGTTGCTCTCCTGGCTGTCGATGAAGCCGTTTATATCCTCAGAGACTCAGATAGACTCACAAAAAACAAATTAACCAAAGAGTTGGTTAAGTCTGATATGGGTTGCGGTCCGGGAACTGGTCTCGATGTCTCACTTGTGGCCAATAATGTCGGCCTTAAGATAATTAGAGGCGAAGAGAAAGAAACGAATGAAGATAACGATGACGTTTGTATCAGAAGACAATTAGTCAGAAGGAAGAAGAGAGAGATCGATATCAATGGATTGCTTGACATTTACAAAGGATTTCTAAGGAAATGTTGTTTATTAGGCACTTGGCCTACAAATAATGGCCGGGACTGTAATTACAAGGCGACTATATTGAAGACATATCTGCCCAACGATGCCAATTGTCACGAGGCGTTTCTCCAGTGCTGCCGAATGAATGTCAAACCTCGAGTACAGGCCGTTTCAAGTGAGTAGTGAACCATTTGATACATTGGCTTATCTTAACTTAGCTTTGGGTGTGTTTTCAGAGTTTCCGGGAAAGTTTGACCGAACGAGAAGTGGTTCGGAAATTGATGAATACGTTCACATCGCTTACGAACAGGACTTGGAAGACAAGACATTTGTGCGAAAGGACTTCCGCGAGTCGTGGCTTTTCGATGTCGTTCTTCTAAACCAAAGGTATATTCAATTATCTTAATTTTAACGAATTTAATATTCATTTATTAATCCATAGCTCAAACGTATTGCCCGTCACTTTTCCCCATTCAATCACAACATGGGCTTTGAGTGCGATGTCATTGTCTCCCACTAATGGTTTTTGTATTTTGCCATCACCTCTACGTTTGCGTACATTTCAAGACATTTTCATTCAGATATCGCTCCCATATTCTGTGGTACAGAGCGAACAAATGGAAATCGTTGTCACTGTCTTTAATTACGGAACCAATCGATACCCGGTTTTAGTCTACACTTATGGTGTGGAAGGTATCTGTTCTGAGGCCGAAATGGTCGGCGAGAAGACAAAAAAGCACATCACTGTTGATAGGAATTCGTTCGCAACGGTAACCTTTCCAATGGTTCCCTTAAGAAAGGGAATATTTGATGTGAAAATCGTCGCCCTTTGGTCTAATGGCGGAGATGTGGTCGTGAAGAAGTTGAATGTCGTGGCGCCCGGTATTACCGTTGAGGAGGACCTGACCTTCCAATTGGACCCAAAGAATAGACAGCGAAGAACTAAGCGGTCGTTGAAAACCGGCAAAATAGAGGACGACATCTCTCCCGATGACGGCCTTCAGAAGACTGTAGTGAATGTAGAGCCAGATCTGACCCGTAATATAGTTCCGGGAACTCGAGAGTGTATTATCGCTGATTCATTGTATAAATCACTTATAATTCAATAAAATTAAACAAAATTAAAATAAACATTTGTTTTACATTAAAGAATTGTCGCATGAATTCATGTCATCGTATTGTAAATTTAAAAAATCGATTTTCTTTTACAATCCAAATGTAATATACACTTCAATTAGTATTTGAATGCCACACATATTATTGATTTTGTTTTTGTGTGTTTTAAAAACTTTGCACAATTGAATCGTCAGTTCCGATACCTTTATGAATTGTGAGAGAAATGAAAATCAATTTTACTATTAGTTATTGAAAATCTGTCTCATAACAGAATTTACATCATATTTGCAATACTATATAAATATATTAAATATAGTATAATATAATATAAAATATTAAATAATATATCTGTTTTATAGATATGCTTTCATTTATTTAATAATTAATGAATGAATACAAATGGTATAACTTTTGTCTAAACTGAATGTGAACTCAATTTTTGTTCAAAACTTTTGACCCAAAATTTTCTGTGTTGTGGTCACGTGATTTCAATAATTTCTTGCCACAAAAAACTTAACATATGGAACTCTATTTTACTTTTTACAGATTTGATCTAGCTCGTTTAGTTTAGGAGATAATCAATTTTTATAAGCGTCAATACTTTTTGAACGATTAAATAATTGTGAGAGCAATGAAAATCAATTCTACTATTAGTTATTGAAAATGTGTCTCATAACAGAATTTACATCATATTTGCAATAACTTACTATATAAATCTATTGAATACAGTATTATATTTTATAATTTATTATATAGACAAAATATCTATACGAAAGTAAATAAATTATTAATTACTTACTTATGTTTACCATATTGAAAACAGATTTGACTTACACTTGAGTTAAAAACAAGTTTTGAAATTTTTTCAGCTGAAAATAAATAGGACTAATGATCGCGATATGTATATATCGTGTGTAAACTAAATGCCAATTCTTTATACATACAATATTTTTCTCCGACAATACTTTTATTATAATAGTTATAACGATAACGTAATGTTTGATTTAAACGCAATCCACACAAGTATTATATTTTAAAAAATATAACGAGAGTATAATTTGGGATTTTATTTGTTAATCGATTTTCTGTTCAAACCATTTGTGACATTCAATGCATTTAAAAGTAAAGGTAGTAATAATTGTTGTAAAGAATATTATGAATCATTGTTAATAAATCCAATTTAATAAATCATTACAATTTTAAAATAATTATTTTTTTATACATTTTTGGGAAAAATTATTTCATTAGATATCTTGACGTAAATATAATTTTTCGCGCATTTATTGATATTAAAGCCTATAATTGTTAAAATATTATTAAATCTTTAAATATAATTAATTAATTATAATAATAAACATTAAGTATTATATGAATAAATGACTTTCATCTCGTTATTAATAATTTAATTTAATTCATATATCCTTTAAATCACTTGTATTTATATAAATAAATATAATTTTATGTAAATTATAAAATAGAGAGAAATTTATAGCGACGAGAGATGAAAGTGTTGTCAAAATATTAAAACATTTATATATTTGTAGAATTAATTAAAATCCAGTCATTACTTAATTCAAAGCTCGTCTCGTATTCACTAAAAAACTCCAAAATCTCTTTCTAAATGTCGATTAAGAGGTAAATGAGAAAAATATTGTAATAATTAATTTGTAAACCAATCGTGTGATCAAATGATGGGATGAATGGTTAGTGTGTTGTCTAAGTTTGTGCGCCTTCACTACACTTCCAATTGATTCTTCTGATCATACCTTCCAAGTGATCAATTATGGCCACAATATATGACTGAGTTTCGTCTCCTTTCAGACCACTGCTGATGTCGTATACAATTGACGTACTGTTCAAATGACCGACTTTATCGTTAAAGTGACCAAATATTATCGCTTCTTTGCCGCCAGACGTTGTCATGTTATAGCAGTCGGGATTCAGACTTAACCCAAACTTATCGTTTCGTTGCAATTCTTGTCAAATGAGAAAACAATGCAATCAAATAACTGTAGAAATTTGAAAATCAAACAATTCAAACATTTAATCAAATACTCACTGCCTTTCAAAACGGAGTGCACTCTAAGCTTCAGGAACTTAAACCGATTCTGAGTGACATTTTGTCCCTCAAAAGTGCCGGTAAAGACATAATTGAATTTATCAGAACAGACCAACTCTTGGAAGAGCTCTCGCGCTCTGACCACTCGTTTTTCGGCAATTTTGCCGATTTCTACCAAAGACTTGGCTGTCGGACAGTTCTCTCGTTTGGCACATTCACACACTTGAGAATTGCATTTCGTTTCAATGTATTCACTGATTCGTGAGGGAGTGTACAGTTGGGAACAGCCGTGATCTAAACCAAACGGATTTACAAATTTATCAATCAATCAAATATATATTGTCAAAATAATGAACACAAACCTTTGTGATAGTAATCATAGACCTTAACCATAGCCGCCTGAACATTGCCCACATTATGCTCTTGTATTTTGCGGAACTGTAGACAATAGGGTCGACCGAACGGCACTTTTTCAAAATAAAAGACAACATTTCGTTCGGATATCTCGTATTTAGAGACCAATGAGTCCTCCATTTTGATAATCTCTTCCAAATCGTCTTTATTTGGTTTATAACCGCTAAGTATTCCGACTTCAATGAGACTCATATCGGAATAGTATCGCGGAATGTGTCGAATGCAGGTCTCGATCAATAAAACTAATTTACTTTTGCCGTCATTACTGCCGATAGAATTACTGCTCAGATTATTCTTCTTAAAGCTTTTGTCGTCCATTATATCTGAATTGAGTTCAATCTTCTCAGAGTTTTGGTCGACGGGTTCAGTGATTGTTCGGTGCCGTGAATTAGACGAAGAGGTGTCCGAAACTGAATCCATTTGAGACGAAGGCTTTGGACGAAACGGGTTCCTCCAAAACGACCTCTTTGTTCGCGTGTGCTTCAGATCTAATCTCTGGACCAAATCATTACCAAAATCGTCGAAGAAGTTGTCGTCAATATCTTCTGGCATATCTCTGCCTATCCTTTCCGGCGCTTTCCATTCCTTCACATCGATGTTCAGATCGAACCGACAAAGAACTTCCGGCGGTTCGAAGACATTGTACTTCAATTTGACAAACATTTGTCCCATTCCTTCACCGCTTGTCATAAATTTCAATTTAGAGGAATCGGAATCCAATTTAAACGTTTGTAAGACGAGTGCGTTGTCGGCATTGAATGCGAGCGCTCTCTTAAAACGATTGGCCGATTCGTGAGAAGTTATGTTACAGACGAGTGAAATGGCATTCGTCGGCGATCTCTGGCGTTCGATGTATTGCGAGAGCGCTTCCAACGCAACGATTGTGTCCTGAGTTGAGGAGAAAGAGCCCGTATAAGAGCGCACAGAGTTTAGGTAATTGGAGATCGAGAGGCCGTCCACTGAATTCCTGTTGCCTGAGTTCAACATTGCCATCAATGCATAGGACGTCGCCTCCACCTCATAGTCGTGTCGCCAATACTTATAGTTCCGATTGTTATCGATGTTTGCGGTCGAGTGAAGTGCGTCCACCAGTTTCAGCGAGTTCTGCGGGTTTGTAAACGTCAGACTATACGCCACTAAAGCCATCGCATATGTATTCTTCTGTCTAATGATTTCGTTTTGATTTAACTTCAAATAGTTTTCCGACTTATAAATAGTTTTGTTCATAGAGTCGACTAAACTCTTATTTTCTTTATAATCGCGTTTCAATACTCGTCGGCATTCGTGGAAAGAAATCAAAGTGAATGCTGTGAGCGGAACGATACCCTTCACGCCTCCCAACGCGTCCTCGTGTACCACAGCGTGTGTCTCAATCCAAGAACCGTCCGATTTTTGTCTCGTTATTAACCAATTGAGACCACTTTCAATCACTTTGTGATCAAATTTATCCTCTTTGAGGAAAGGGCTCGACTGACAAAACACTTTCATCACGAATGCAGTCAACCAAATAGATGCCGGACGAGAGACGAATGCGCCGAAAGAGCCGTCGTCTTTGCGAAACGAAAGCTGTCTTTTATAACCATTTCTAATATACTTAAGTCCTCTGTATTTGAGATCTCCGTTCAAATGATCGATTGATTTCAAGTAATTCAGTGTATAGAGAGTGGGCGCCATATATAGCATATTCTGTTCACCGCATCCTTTGGGTTGTCTAATGAGTCGATCGATATCACTGAGCGTTGTATAGGATGTCGCGCCGTATTCGTTGCCAATGCCGGCGATAATACACTCTCGAGTTCCCGGAACTATATTACGGGTCAGATCTGGCTCTACATTCACTACAGTCTTCTGAAGGCCGTCATCGGGAGAGATGTCGTCCTCTATTTTGCCGGTTTTCAACGACCTCTTAGTTCTTCGCTGTCTATTCTTCGGATCCAATTGAAAGGTCAGGTCCTCCTCAACGGTAATACCGGGCGCCACGACATTCAACTTCTTCACGACCACATCTCCGCCATTAGACCAAAGGGCGACGATTTTCACATCAAATATTCCCTTTCTTAACGGAACCATTGGAAAGGTTACCGTTGCGAACGAATTCTTATCAACAGTGATGTGCTTTTTTGTCTTCTCGCCGACCATTTCGGCCTCAGAACAGATACCTTCCACACCATAAGTGTAGACTAAAACCGGGTATCGATTGATTCCGTAATTAAAGACAGTGACAACGATTTCCATTTGCTCGCTCTGTACCACAGAATATGGGAGCGATATCTGAATGAAAATGTCTTGAAATGTACGCAAACGTAGAGGTGATGGCAAAATACAGAAGCCATTAGTGGGCGACAATGACATCGCACTCAAAGCCCATGTTGTGATTGAATGGGGAAAAGTGACGGGCAATACGTTTGAGCTATGGATTAATAAATGAATATTAAATTCGTTAAAATTAAGATAATTGAATATACCTTNAAAAGTGACGGGCAATACGTTTGAGCTATGGATTAATAAATGAATATTAAATTCGTTAAAATTAAGATAATTGAATATACCTTTGGTTTAGAAGAACGACATCGAAAAGCCACGACTCGCGGAAGTCCTTTCGCACAAATGTCTTGTCTTCCAAGTCCTGTTCGTAAGCGATGTGAACGTATTCATCAATTTCCGAACCACTTCTCGTTCGGTCATACTTTCCCGGAAACTCTGCGAACACACCCGAAGCTAAGTTAAGATAAGCCAATGTATCAAATGGTTCACTACTCACTTGAGACGGCCTGTATTCGAGGTTTTACGGTCATTCGGCAGCAGTGGAGAAATGCCTGGTGACAGTTGGCATCGTTGGGCAGATATGTCTTCAATATAGTCGCCTTGTAATTACAGTCCCTGTGGTTATTTGTAGGCCAAGTGCCTAATAAACAACATTTCCTTAGAAACCCTTTGTAAATGTCAAGTAATCCATTGATATCAATCTCTCTCTTCTTCCTTCTGACTACTTGTCTTCTAATACAAACGTCATCTTTATTTTCATCTGTTTCTTTTTCTTCACCTCTAATTATCTTAAGGCCGACATTATTGGCCACAAGAAAGACATCGAGACCAGTTCCCGGACCGCAACCCATATCAGATTTAACCAACTCTTTAGTTAATTTGTTTTTTGTGAGTCTATCTGAGTCTCTGAGGATATAAACGGCTTCATCGACAGCCAGGAGAGCAACGCTGTCTCCTTTGGTACCGTTAAGAATCAAATTCAATGTTTTGCCCGGATTTACTTGTTTCGTATCGTTCTCTACACTCATATCTAAACCACAATTGTCTTCATTTACTTCGATTTTAATTGAATCCGAAACGAGTTGTGAATCTCTAGTGACCGCTAAAATCATAACTCTTATAAAAGGAGTCATTTCTCGTGTTATCTCAAATTTGATGCCTTTATCGGCAGAAATTCTTTCCGAATGAATAATATGTCCGCGATTTACGACAATTAAGTATATCTTATCGGAGACTACAGAGCCTCTCGTCACTAAAGGGCTACGATATGTGTCGCCTACTGCTAGGGATGAGCTGTACTTAGATTTGCTCGATATATAGACAAAACCACTGGCGGAGACATCAGCCCAGAGAACGTGTGCCACTTCTATCTGGTCTTCGCGATCAAGTTTCGGGTCTTCGGTTCTGATGCTAACGTGCAGTTCCTTCACATTCTTGCCAACAGTGATGGGGAATGAAATCCGTCCCAAATGGTCGCTCACTAATTGCATCGAAGGTTTGCTCGTTTGCGTCTTATTTAGGATGAAATTTCCCGATTCGTCCTTCAGTATCACTTTCACCGGTAATTCGGCAACACTTTCACCAAAAATATCGTTAATTTGTGCCTAAAATTGATTTTAAATGTGTTTCAAATTTCAATGCAATCATCAATTAAAGTGGATTTTACCCCAAATCTGGTATTAGTTGTCTAACAATAATATAAATTAATTTTATATATAATTGTGATAAAAGTAAAAATTTGTTATTTCAATAAATGCAAGCAATATATCTGATACTGTAATAAAAAGTTAACAAAAATGTGCTGCAATTAAGTATAATTAGGTTTTATTTTATCCCAAGATTATCAAAATGCTTCACATTTAATGTTTGCATTAATATAAACGTAAATCTAAACAATGGGATAATTAATGCAATGTTTCATTCGGTNTCACATTTAATGTTTGCATTAATATAAACGTAAATCTAAACAATGGGATAATTAATGCAATGTTTCATTCGGTATATTAAACAACAAGTTTAATGAATATAATTCAGGGACAACTATAAGGGATAAATATTTCACTATATTTTATGGTTCAGTGAAGCAAATACCGTAATATCCCATAGACAACGCGCACCCCGTGTATAACGCGCAGTAAGAAATTTAACAATATTTCTGAATAAAAAATCAATCGTAGATAACGCGCACCCCATGTATAACGCGCATATCCTTTACTGTATGTTTAAACTTATTATTGTTACGCGTATTTTTAAAATACAATTCAAAACAACATATAGTGATTAATTGTTGTAATTAAATAAATTTTAAACAATTAAAAATCAGAATCAAGTTTTGATTTTGACTGATTTGATTGATTTTTATACTTATTATAATTATAATTATAAACTAGAATTTCTAAACTATTATTCACTCTAATCGTTACACTTATTATATTAATCATGTGCCCTTTTTATATATTGTTTATAATAATTTAATAATCATAAGTGAATAACATGTTTAAACTCCACTAATTATATTCAGGTACACTATATATGAGTAGTACTTGAATAGAGTATAAATAACACAGCAATAAAGCGAATATATTTCGTACATAGGGATTTCGTAAACTAGAATATTTTAAAAACACTTTTTAAAAATCTTTTTTGTGTGATTTGTTTTTAAACCACATATAACGCGCACCCCGTAGATAACGCGCACCACTAATTTTGGCAAGAAATGCACTTTTTTCATTAGATAACGCGCGCGTTGTCTATGGGATAATACGGTAATTTTAATAAATATATTAATTTATATATTTTGGTTAATATAATAAAAACATTTCTATCGATAAGTAAAACTAAACGACAATAAATGACATTTAAAGGAATGAACAAAAAGTGATAATAAACTTACGGTGATATAAGTTTCGACGTCGGGTTTGTAGTCATAAAAAGTGTTTTTATAGGATATGACATAAGGAGAGGTGACGAATATAGCGCTCTCATCGATAGCTTTATCCT